GCTTCGCGCTCCGCGCGAAAATCTCCGTTATCATGTAATTTTTTACTTGACATCTTGCTGTACCAACAATTGTGATTCGATTCGTACTTTATATAAAATTTTTTTGAAGTTTTGCAGTGAGTTATCTTGCTATCTTTGGGGTTCTTGGGTTCTCAGTGCCCCTCCCGCCCAAGCGAGTTAAATTCGCCTATGGTGTAGATAATCACTGATCGGTGAGCTGTTTCTGTCGTTTTCGAAGCTAGTGGTCTGGCTTTAACCGCATTTCCGTTTTTTGATCTGTAACTGTACCGGAGCTCCGGAGTTTAAATCGTATGACATAGGAATGGATAATTGTCTTGTGCATTATCCTGTATTTTGGTTTAAGACAGATAGATGCAACGTGTATTATGTGTATTTTCCATCTTTCCCTTAAATTCTTTTAGCGTTTAGAAGCGTTCGCTGTTCGGCTGTTTTGCATAGTTCTGCCTTTTGCAGTTGTTTTTCGAACATTGTCTTTTCGCTATAAACTGGAATGAATTCTTAATCGAGACATTGACTTCCGGAAAGAAATATCTGGAAGATAGCACAAGTAGATTGAATAACCTTCTCGTTTAGCTGAAAACCTTCAGAATTCACTCAGTTGGTTGCAGCCGGGAAGAGTTACGAGTACTACTGACTCGGATTACGAGCGCTGTAAAGAATGCGCCCGCAACCGTACCGTACTGCCGATCGAGATGAGTGCTGTAGAAGTACTAGAAATAAACATACCGACTACCGAGCTCCAGCAACTGATTCGGTTGACAAAAAAGCCGAAATATGTTAAGTAATCTTACCAACGTACACATAAAGTGCAACCGATACAGTACGAGGACCATTGGGTGCTGTGAACATACCCTGCACGATTAGGCTGCGATGAACAGCCGGCTAAAGTTAAGCCGTTTGCATTCAGACTGTGATATCAGTGGCGTTGCGAGCTACGGCTGTTCATCGTAGCCTAATCGTGCAGGGTATGTTCACAGCACCCAATGGTCCTCGTACTCGTAAGAGAGAAAATTAATATGCAAACAACAAAGTCATTTCAGCTGTTCTGGCATTTTACTCTGTATTGTGCATTCGAATTCGAAGTAGTAACTACAGTATTGTACATGCTAGTATGCTGCTGGTCACTTCATCAAGCTGGCGGATGGATCAAAATCGTTTCATTAATCTTACACTTCTTTAAGTTAACAGTTAACAATTGCATTATGCGAAGGCCTGTGTCTAACTGTTTTGTAGTTTAATTCTGAACCTATTTGTATGACAAAATTTAGAATTTCGACTGACTTTTTTGTTGTTACCGTCGTAATTAAAAATGTCCGCGTCTGTATTGGAAGATACCAGTATTCTTGTTTTGGAGACATATTTACCAACTAGACCAGGAGATGCGGGAAGTGGTGTTACATCTAGCGAGGGATTGAGGAACAGTAAACACGGGCAAATGTGTCGTTGTGGATCCACTGCGATCTATCTAATCCATATCTAATCTAATAGATATGGCACGTTTCGTACCACTCCATAAAACCGACCGTATCATTTCTTCACAGTAGTCTACGTATTCCTACGTATTCCCCCTGTATTCTTGCTGTATTCGCCTCGTATTCCTTCCTGTGCTGACCGTATGATTTCTGTATTCGCTAAGTGGGCTGCCGTATTCCTACGTATTCTCCCTGTATTCTTGCTGTATTCGCCTCATATTCCTCCCTGTGCCGACCGTATGATTTCTGTATTCGCTAAGTGGGCTGCCGTATTCCTACGTATTCTCCCTGTATTCTTGCTGTATTCGCCTCGTATTCCTCCCTGTGCCGACCGTATGATTTCTGTATTCGCTAAGTGGGCTGCCGTATTCCTACGAATACCACCTGTATTCTGCCCAAATTCAAGGCGTATTCTAAGTTTTCTAATTCGGAAACCAAAGAATACATGGGGAATACAGGCGGAATACGGGAGAATACGGGGACACACTAAAGAAGACAGCAGTCGTGTTTAAATTAAAGCTATATAATGGAAAATCCTTCGCGAATACAGTAGGAATACAGGCAGAATACGGATGGAATACGTGGGAATACAGCTAAAGAGTAAAGGTACGAGTATCTTAATCATAGTGGCAAGATTAACATATCTGTGGAGTGTGCCCGTATTCCCACGTATACTACCTGTATTCTGCTGTATCTCTAAAGTATTCCCTAACTAGCTTACCTAACCTCTGTGACTACTGTCTACTTGCAGCATATTTGTGCATTCCCACATATCCAGTCAGTATTCACCACGTATTCCCTGCTGTTCTAGTTAAAAGCCTAAGAAACCTAAGAAACCGAAGAATACATTGTCAACACGGACAGCATACGGGTAGAATACGTGGGAATACGGTATTAGTTGCTGTCACTCGCTAAAATTATCCTGCCCTTCTAATAAACGTTCGTAATGATCCAGGCTGCATTCAACTGTATGTAGTTACGCTGTACTTACTGTAGTTCGTCATTAAGTTTTAAGATAAGGTTTAATTAATTAACTTAATAATTAGTAATTGAGCGAAAATTTGATGAACCAACTAGAGTCATTCACGCCTTATTAGCCATTTAGCACCTAATTAAATAGCGAATCTGCCCCTAATTAGTAATTTCGCACCTGGTTTTTTTAGCACCTAAATAGCAAATTTATTACACATGATAAAAAATTAATATTAAATGTCATTAAGCTATGTGAAATTATTTTTCTTAATAGATTTGCGCTTGTTGTGTTGCGTTGTCCATGGTAGTGAATGGCACTGAAGGCAGATTTATTGCAGAATTCACAGTGCTGTCAGATTTAGTGTTTATTTCCATTAGTGTATCCGTTATCAGTGGTGGGAACATTATTCAATTTTTTTGTCTTAGTCATAGCGGAAAGATGAGTAACCGATACGTGCGCAGCAGTCGTGCCTTCGCTGCTGATGTTTGACAGTCCTAATTATACAGCAGAGGAAAACGTAGTCAGACGTACTTGCAAAAGCAAAATAATGGAGAACATAACGTGAATACAGAAAGAATACGTGTGGGATACATAGGAATACGTGGAATACAATCAACATGATGGACCGAACATAGGAATACACGGAATACAATCATAGGAATACATGGAATAGAATCAACATAATGGACCGAACATTTCAATAAGGTCCAAAAAAGTGTCAGTCATGGAATTGCTCTCATTAATCGTGCGAAAGACGGCCTGTGCGACGCTCAACGTGTGGGACTTTTCTACGCGTTCGTCCAGTCTCATCTGGACTACTGCTCTACCGTGTGGTGCAACGCGTCTGTGTCCCTGCGAGAGAAGTTAGCCGTTGCACAGCGTAATGCAGTCCAGGCAATTGCGAACTATCCGACAACACCTGTAAAAATGTTGATGAACCGTTTCGGATTCGTTCCCCTATTTACCCGTTGGAAGCACCAGGAGGCTATTTGGCTGTACAAGATCAAACATCCTGTGCCGTTCAACGTGCCGAACTACATAATGGATTTGGTAAAGTACGAGGAAAGGAAGCCATACCACCTGCGTAACGCCGATAAATCTACCATCAGAACAAAGGCGGCGTCAAAATGTGGGGAAACCACATTGGCATGGCGACTGAGCAAGCTACTGGATAAGATCAACCTTTGTGGCAGTGATATTCTTGAATTACGTTCTCTTGGGTGTTTTTAGAAGTGCACTATACACTGCGGGCCTTTTTTAAACTACTGTTGGGTATTGTTTTCTACCTAGTTATGTTTCGTGTGTGATTATACCCTTCTTACTTTGACTTCGATGTTTTTGTCTTTAGCATTTACCAGCCAGGTTTAAAATCCCAGGCTAGACTGTCATCCTAGCCGGAAATTGGCTACCTGCTCTGACTCGAAATAAATTAAATTAAATAAATTTAAAATTAACAAAAAAGGGGCCGATTTTATAGAGTGGTACTCAATGGGCCATAGGTGTAGATCACTGCGGGAAAGGGCACGCGCCGTAAAAGCTATCGACCATACAGGTAACATTTAGCCGTATTGTACATCATTGCTACACTTAATATAATTCAAAATTTAAGCAGATCCGCCGATGTTGATTTGGAATACGTGCGTTCGGTAAATCAGCGGATCGTAAATCAAGGTTTGCTGCCGCATGATCCTATTTCGCCGCCTGCCTTTAAAAATTTGCTGGGAATTGAGCAGTTTTAATCTTATATACGGTTACCAAAATTTTCTGTCACACGATGAAGCAGAAATTACTATCCTGATTATGTTCAATATTATGCGAGAGCATCTTTACAGGAGTTTTATGCTGACCGATTTTTTTGCATCCTGGATAATGAAGATCATGGTTACTTGCTGCCGCACGAACTGACATCCAGATTGACCGATTTGGCCAGCGCTTGTTTGTTTCGGAAGTTTAAGTTATTGTTCGATATCTATGATGCAAATGAACGCTTCATTTCCCTGCTGACAATTATCAAATAACATACTACTGCTAACCTGATAAAAGCTTGACTGCGATAGAGCTACTATCCAATAAATTCCAGAAAGTAACACCACGCAATGCTAAAAAACTACCGCTGTCACAGCTCTTTACTGACTCAGTCGCAATCCTGAGCGAATATTTGTAGGTCTACAAACCAAGGAAATATGGGCAATTACTCACCGACTGCCTAATGACTCACGGGATACAACAATAACTCCTAATCATGTACATACTGACATACAATATACGATATAATCATGAACGAAGCACTACACTCGCACGTCTTCACGGATGACACCCTGACACCTAAACATCGATAACCGATAACCTAATAAAGATGACATTAAACTGACACTACTGCAGGATACTCTAAGACCCAGAATCGTAGACTAACTTGATAAGATTGTGTATAATATTTGTACGTACGCGGTAATCACATCATTCGCACAGACACTTAAGCTTCGAACATTTTGCAACTTTTAGAACAAATCACAGTTAAAAATAACGGAACTTACTTGTGTGTTTTAACGGAAGCTCCTTCTGAGTGAGGAATGGACACAGAGACGACAAACTCTTCAGGAAAATTATCCTGCGCATCAAAGAATTCGTCCTCGTCGGATGGACCTGTACAAGCATGCAAAACACTCTCATCACCCTGCAGCAAGACTATTTAACGCACTGCCATCGATTGACGACAAAAAGAAAACAAGCAAGTCAGAAGCAAGGGTTTCGCTACCTCCCGACAAATACCGCTAATACAAAAAGAAACACCTGCTCGCGGATCGATCGATAGGCCACGACAACGTTTTGGCATAGAAGACGTACTCATGCCAGTTGCGCCAAGAACGTCGTACAAGCCCACTCTCACCTGTGGCAATCGGTTTACCCGAATTGGCACTGCTCCCACCGGGCTGGCTGCCTTTCATGGTGGATGATTTGGCCGCCTCAGCCTTAGCGGCCTCCTCCAGACTGCTGTGCTGCTTGGCCAGCTGCTCTACCATCTCAGCCAGCCGGACGCGCTGGTCGTGTTCATGACCCAGCATCTTCTGCCATTTCTTCCCTTCACTCTGCGCCATAGTCAGGAACTCTTTGGAAGCCTGCCAGTAGGCCATAACACATCTTGCAATACATCGTAATCCACGGTTTAGAAATAAACGGTTTGTAAGTATTTCCTAAAGACACTCTACAGATGAAAACAACACAGCCGGGAAATCTAGTGCAATCATGACTAATCAGCTCCATGGCCTGGTCTTTTCAACCGCAGCACGACCATACAGATTTTCGTTACGAAAATAGTGCGTCACCTCATCATCGCTTCGCAACAAACAAACATGCTATCCCGTCACAATGTATCAATTGTCAAATCCCCTGCTGAATCTGCAAATTATTGATTACGAATCTTTGAACTTAAAATCAAGCAAAATTTGCGGCGGATGAAAACAGTTTATTTTAACCTTTATCGTCCGTTAAAACTAATAGAGAATCGAAACCATAATCATAAACAAAATGGTACAACCGTTGAAAAAAATACAATTACGCATGAGAAATGGGGAACAATCTTCGCTCATTAAATCAGAATTACAGTATCATACGTTGTGGCCAAGTAAGAATACCACATAAAGCCGACCGCAGAAAATACTTTACGTTAGTGAGTTTTTCTGCATCCAGCAAATCGAAACACATTTCCCGCAGCACCGGGACAATTAACCACTCTAGTCTGCCATGAAAGATTTTTGTCGATTATCGACAGCATCTCGACCATGAAACATCCACACTCATGTCCCATCACCAGGCACTTAAAAGTCACAGGTAAACTTACGTTCAATAGGGCTGTGCTGGTTAGCCGGAACAATGTGGCCCGTTCGACAACCGCCTTAGCCTTGGCACTGGCGTCCGGCGGAATTGATAAATTCTCCAATTCCACAATCAATCCCTGCAGTGCGCGACCTTGCTTACTGATCTGTTCGTGGCACGCGTTCAGCTCGTCGATTTTCGAACTCAGATTCCGGATTACCGCCTGAAGATCGCTCTTCGAAACGTCCTCTTCTTCATCATCTTCTGCCAAGAGATAATTCACTGATGTCGAAATGACAGTCAAACTTATCGCACATCGTATAAAACTACAGATAAACTGGAAATGACGTTCTATAACAAGGCCAATATCCCTCCACGAAGAAGAGGAAAAAACAGGAACATCAAATGCATTAAATTCCGATCTACACACCACCGAACATAAATGAATATGCTGACAAGTCAATCCATTTGGAAACACGGTTCGGTGGACACAAGACAGGTAGCGAACAGGAGAACATGGGGAAATCCTGACTAGCTTAAAATAGTACTTTCCTTACACGATCGAGTGCACTTACGAAATGCGCTCGATACTGATAAGCGAGAAAGATTATGTTATCAACACTATAACTCTAATTACTCAAAGGAGTCCATGTAGCAAGAAATGTTCCTACTTCATACGACGGTCACCCGCGTAAACATAAAAGTAGACAGAAAATTCAACTGAAAAACGATACAAAACACCAAACACTGTTTTACAGTGATTTTAATACAGAGTGACTCCAGTTTTCCTTACCGTCCGGTTCATTTCCAGATGAATCGTCCACTCCAGCCTTATTTGCCCGCGTTTTGGCCAGTTCAACCGCGGTAATCCATCGCTGACGTTCCACCTCCGAATTGGCCTTCAAATGAAATGTCTGATCGCCCAACTTCTGAATAGCAAAATTGCACGTGTCGTCAGTGGTCACATTGGCTCCTCTCAGCCGGATGGAACCACGCGGATGATCCGGCACATCCGAGGGAGACCTACAGTAAAGAGAGTGAATACTTGCGAATCGGATTATTTATCCCTGTAAGTGTAAACCTGAACAAAGTGCATTCGGTGCAGACGCATACCAGCTGAGCCCGATGCAGAAAACTGTTGTGAGCCAGTAATGCGCAAAGCCGCAGACAAGGCAGATATACAGCCCCGCATGTGTCAGGGCTGAGCAAATACCTTACGTCGTCCACAGAGAGATTTATAAATCACAACAACCGCCTACCACAACCATATTTCCGCCCTGGAACATACTGTATAATGAGTTGCGTCAGTGCCAGCACCGGATTATGTAAAGAACATCAAATGCCCTAAATTTGCCCAAATCTCTAGTACGATTCGAAAAAAGACGTCAAATGCATTAATCCATATCTGCACAATGGTAAGTGCATGATTCATCATTAAAAAAACCCTCCACCGTAACTTGCTTTGAATTACGCACCAAGCAAGCGATAACTGGCAGAGTTAAAATAGTGAGTATCTATAAACATTAATCGTGATTTATTAGCAAATGACGGATTTACTGTTTCTCCGTGACCGGCTTGTTACACTGACGATCTGGTTTCCACATGTAAATCATGTTTTCGACATTTATATCATATATGGTAGCAAATCAATACGTTGCATAAGTTTCCTTGCGGGGTAGCATTGTATACCTGCGGTCTTTCTAAAGGGAACGGTTCCATTGATCAAGAAGAATTTAATGCCATTTTGACCTGCTCCATTGCCGGCAATTCGCTGTCGTTGAGCCCTCAACAGGTGGAGTACCTTACCAGAACTCTCTCTGACGCCATCGACAAGGACATGGATGATGTGGTACCCTTCGAAGAGTTTCGTGCATTTCTGGACAGCTCACCGGAACTATTGGACAGTCTCCAAGTGTCGTGAGTGAAATGCCCATTGCGCTTACCATTAATATCGGTCGCGTTACTCGTGTATAAGGCTTCTGTAAAATCAATTTATCGTCGAAGAATTTCCCGTTTTTTGCTCCCGCCACGAATACCGGATTTTGAAGTTTCGGGCCCTTTAAAAAAGAGGCATTTTCCATTATTGTGATGTTCTTACATGCACCGACATCCATGCGAATTTGTCTGGGGATGGCTGTTTTTGGCTTCTGTCGCCGCTTTTTTCACATACGGAGCCGTATCTGCCGGATACCGAAAGTGTAAATTTTTACTACCATTAACCAGATTTTTCTATTTAAACATTGTAAACTAGACTTCGCAAATATTTCAGATGAGTATTACGGATCACCTTGCATTTGTTACTATCTAATAGCAAAGAGATTTGGCAGTGCCATCAACTGGACAGCAACCCTGGCCATTGTATTTATGCTGAAAGAAAGCATGACCTTTGTGCGTAGTACATCGGTAGGCCGATTCGTTCCAGTGGACTCGATGGTATATATCCATAAAGTCAATGGTTATGTTGTGGTTGTCGCGATATTCGGTCACATCATCATGCATTTCGCTACATACGGTTAGTTCCGTTGTTTGTTGTCAACAGATTTGCGTGGTCTGATAATTACAGTTTCATAAAAACTTCGCGCTTTTACTGGTGCTCTACTCCTTTTTAGGGCGTGTTAAATTGTGTGGATTAGCCTAGCTGAACTATTCCAGTGCTGGAGAAGCAAATACGAGCACAATCTTATCGCCTACGCTGGACATCATTTCTGGCTGGTTCAGTTTCGCCGCCACCTTGGTTACTTTCACTGGATCTTACCCTGCGTGAGAAGAACTGGACATTTCGAGGTAAACAGACCGCTGTGGTATTTTGTCGTAAATACTGTGTTATTTCCTTAGAAAGCCGAACAATTTGCAGCGAATCATATCATTCAAAAACAATCTCGGAATGAAATCAATAGAAACGAGAGGCAAAATTATGCAACCACTAATTTTGTTGACTTAACATGTGCTGAGTTAAACAGATGATGGGGGTTGCTGTTTTCCGTTGGGTTTATTAATGATACTTCCATAAAGATAGTTTACAAATATTTTTTTTATACTCGTACCCATCTTTTTATACCAGGTCTTTTTTTATACTCATCTTTCCGGATACATCACCTTCTATGTTGCACTCTTGCTGCACACGTTGCATCATAAATTTTGGCAGTTCATACTTGTTCCGGGAACGATGTACCTATATAGTCGAAAAGGCATATGCCAGCTGGATGATTCACCGCAAAGCAGGATATAAGGTGATGATAAGAAAAGTCGTCCAGTGGCCATCCGGAGTAAGTGCATCTTAGATTTTCCAACGATAAATCTCTAAATAATAATAAATCTCACGATAGGTCTTGCCGTTTCTGTTAATTACTATTTAACATTTTTTTACAGGTTACCCAGCTTACCGTGGATCGCCCAGCACATTTCGTTTACAATCCCGGTGATTATATTCAGATCAAAATACCCGCTCTCGCATGGTTTGAGTGGCATCCGTTTACTATTAGCAGTTGCCCGGAAGAGAAAAGTAAGTGATGGGCTGTACTTGTATGTGTACTTCTATAAGTTATGCACTTTTCCGTAGATTGTTATTGCAGCAATATTCGAGTTCAACGGTTTTGCATCAATCTTGGCATCTCTAACATAGATTTCCTGACTTTGCACATCCGGACGGCAAAAAATTAAACTCGGCGATTGTACAATTACTTTGCCGCCCATTTACGTGATTCATGTACGTTTGCCATCAGTCATAAACCTTCGACCAATTCTTTGCGGCAATCTGTTGTCAACCGCTCAGCTCGGCGTGCTCGAGTGTAAATTCTATAAAAAGCGTCTATCGGAAGCCGGCCAAATTCTTGTCAAACCGATCAGTACCGTGGTGAAATGCATTATTGGGCAGTTAACATTAAGCTAATGTCTGAATTGTGATCTTGCAAAAAAAGAGATATATACATACAGTAGTAATAAAAGGAACTTGACTGTTTCAAGGTCCACATTAAGGGTCCCTGCGGGACACCATCCGGAAAGATCTTCCAAGCTCAACATGCTATGCTCATTTGTGCCGGCATTGGGGTCACCCCTTTTTCATCTGTACTTCAGAGCATAGTCATTCGCATAGTCATTCGCCATCGTAATGCGCTATCGCACAACGTCATCCAGTCACACGAACCGATTTTATTGGGAAACACCATAAAACTGCAAAAGGTTTGGTTGATGACTGAAAAATTTCTCATATCACTGCTGTTCTTAATCAAGGCTGTCGTAAGCACTTAAAAAAATCTAGATGGTTGACAGCCGAAGAGTTGATGAGCGAAATACCGCAACAATAGAAGCACAAGCATACGTGTACTTACATTTTCCATTTTTAGTTTTTTGCATCAGAATGTATTACTTTTACTGTGTTCTGTTGATCTATACGCTCGAATTTAAAGTGGTGAGTTTTGGTTGTGGGTTACAAACTTGCGATTGATTTTAAGGTGGATTTTATCTGGGTGGTTAAGAACCAGCGGAATTTGGAGTGGTTTATGGAATTGCTGGAGGGACTGGATGCCGAGCAGTATAAGGAGGAACGGTTTCACCAATTCCTGAATATACAGATTTATTTGACTTCTTGCACAAAAATGGATGATCGTGCAGGTAGACCAATAAAAGATAACACTACGACACCGTGTGAATGGACATGTACGACAGAGTTGTACATACAAATACTGTAAGCGTTGCGCAGTTTTACGTACAGTCAACTAATCTAATCCTGGTCGATCTCTGCAAATCCAATGCTTTCGATACAGCGATCCAGTAGCTGGTAGGTCCAGCAGATAAGATCACAGGTTCCGACAAAGTGACAGTTAACGTTGTCCGGTGACATTCGCCGTTTCCCTTCGTAATCTGGATAAACTGATCAGGATACCGGTTGGAGGCGCAGAACCGAACATGGGGATAGTCGCGTCCAGCGCTGCAGTGTTAAAATATCTCTGCAGTACCAATAAAAACATCACCTCAAAAGGTGAAAGGCTTGATAAGCAATGTACGATCGCTGACTAAACGAGAAAAACGGGAATGCGATGTTACTGCACAACTGGAGCGCGAGTACAGTACTTGAAGTTATGCGACGCATCGTCAGAGGCCTCCGCCCACGGCCTCTTCCAAACGCCTGTCTCCCTGCTCTCGCTTTTCACCGGCTAACGGTTGTGAAGTGTGCATGTTGTAGTTGTTAACTTGTTCGTGTTGTGGGGCTTTCCCGCTGCCTCGGTGTGAACGCGACGTCGTGTTGTGAGTTTCATTTTGTACAGACACCGAATTATACGCCTGCATGGTGACTGGCTCCGCAGATCATTAAATGCTGTTTATCATGGTAGATATTACTCTAGGTTTTCAGCGCAAAGAATGTTTCAAAAACCGTTTGGTTTCTCGGTTTGACCATTCGACACTGAGTATCATCTTAACCGGAAATAGTTAAATTAAATAGATTGGAGATTAAACAGCGAATACCGATAAGTTTTTTAGACGCTAGCAGACGTTGCCATTTGCCCATTTAAATTTTATTTGGTAGTCAAAATCCTAATACATAATATGATAAGCCATATAAATATAAATCGCTACAAATCCAAATAAATATTGTCCTAGCCAGACTGACGAAATCAGACGAATGCGTTCCTGAACCCCTTACCAGAATATTTTGTCAAGCCATTTAAACATGCACTCAACGAGGAGATTTCATAGCAGATTCGGGTCGTTTGATAATCACAGCTATCAGCGTTTGGGAATTCGATCCGTCTCATATTCTCAATCGATAACTAAAACATTACGTTTATTAATATTCAAAATTTAACTTATCAAAATGCAAGTTCCTATCCAACAAAATATATATTATAGAAGTACCACCAAATTTTCAACATGAACAACAATCGATCAAAAAATCACAATCTTGCGCAGCAATGTAGGAACAATAAAGCAACAACAACAACGGCAAGTTACAAAAATCATCCCAACGCCTGTAAGACCCTCTGCACATTCGCCGCCACTCGTTCAGCATACACCGATCATCGCTCATCCACCAACCACCGCACCCACGGCCAGGTACTTTCAAACAGCAACTCTTCGCGCATATGCAAGATCACGGCCTCCTTATCGGGATCGGCGTATCGGATCGCAGGGCCGGTCGTCAGAAAATGCGGAAAATGTATGCCGGCGTTCAACACCTTCCGTCCGCGACACAATCCTTTGGTGCGATCATACCAGGGATAGATGTAGGACTGGTGGTTGGAGAAGCGCAGAAGAAGATCTGCGATGTCACAATCAGCTGAAAAACGGCTTGGACACAATCTGCTGCCGCATTTTGGAAGTACAACGCAGAAATAATTCCAACGAGTGCCGTACAAAATTAAGATGCGTTACAGAGAAAACACGGTGCCTTTCTCTCAACGTTCACCGGTGGTCTTCTTCTTGACGGGCGCACAATCGCACTTCCCGCGCACCACTTTCAGCAGCACCCCGGTCAGGTCCTGACAGCGCCCGTTCCGCACCATGACAGTATTGTGGTCCTGCAGATTGTGTCCCTCCCCCGGGACATGGGCGATGCGATCCGGCGAGCCGGTGACGCTGAGCCGCACACGGACGCAGCGCCGGTTGGCTGAGTTGGGCTTCTTCGGCTTCTTGATCAGCGTCTTAATCACCACGGCCTTGGCGCACGCGACCGGCCGGCCAGCCACCATGTGCGCTTCTGTTTGGGGATGGGCAGCTGGATGTGGCCTTTGTAGAGGCGTCTGTAGTCGGTTATTCGCTGCAACAGAGAGTACTAGTAGTGACAAATACCAGTTTCAATGCTCAATTTAAAACAAATTTAGCGCAGGCGCGGACGGGATCAGCTGCTGGCTGAAAAATAGCTATGCAGTACAACAACGTCCAGTCTGCAACCGCGTAAATTACAGGAAAAATAACTAGTTAATTGCACTGAATTGTCAACACAAAGCAAGGAATTTTCTTTCTCTAGACAGAATTGTCTAGAGTTCTTGTTTTTCTTGCGGTCTAAGTAATTTTTGGTAAGCTTTTTCGACCAAATAAGAAGCCCTGCCATTTCTGGTTCAAACCAGATTGGCAGGGGCGAACCATATCGCGCATTCATTCACCACGAACCCATCATTACTGGAGCGCCTCATTTACTGCTTTCCAGCGCATCTCTCCATTCCTTGATACTCATTACTGCTCTTACTCATGACTGCTGATCTGATGTCGCACCCTTTCCTCGTCTTTTCTATGGAGCCCTGCGGGGGCTGGAGTTTGAGCCGCGGGGAGGATTTAGCTGGCCACGGAGGCGGACTGTGGGGGATTTCTGGGCGCTGTGCTCGATGTGATCTGGGGTTAGTAATTCAACGCTCTGCGTTTCGACCATTAACCAGTGAACTAGCTAGTGCAGTGCTTTGGCGTTCCGTGCGGGTTTCTTCCGGGTCTGGTGAAGTTAGGGACCGTGGATCTGAACTCTGGAACCCTGGTGGACATTTTCACTGCCCTGGTTGGCATTTTCACTGCTACTTCGCTCATTTCATTCAACTGTCTTTGGCCATATTCATGAACCTCCTGGCTGGTGAATCTTCCGAGCTCTGTGGACTGGCGAATGGGACGTGGAAGTTTGGAGATGGAGTTTCTGCTTGTTGCGCACGATGTGATCTGGGGTTATTAATTCAACGCTTTGCGTTTCGACCGCTAACCAGTGACCTAGTTGGCGTAACTTGTGGGGGCTCTGTCTTTTAGACGTCTGCTAATCTCGTTTATCATGTTTTCAGGATTGGTAGATTTGCTGTTGTGCGGATTTTTTGTTCGAAACCTGTATTCCTTGTGGTTAATCATTAAATTTCATGTAACTAGTTAATTAATAAACGCCAATGCAAAAGTAGGCGATCGCGCTACCATTTTAAACGATGGTTGCAGTCGGACTGCAGAAAAAGATGTAGAATAATCACCTCCAATTTGCAGCCGTGCAAAACACAGGGCAGAACGGATCATCGACGTACTCGAAGGGCCGATTATCCGGAAGACAGAAGGGCTTGGAATTTCATGAACTCGTACGGCTTGGAATGCCGCCAGAACGGGATCTGATCGACTGCCGTCATCAGCTCCATATTGCGCGTCGGAACGAGGGTTCCTGGCAGAGCCTCAGAGGCCTCGCGGGATGGAAGAGGGACTTCACGGCGGACTGGCAGGCGCGCATGCATCATCCCGCAGTGCTTAACTGCTTAACATGGTTGCTGGGTTCCTCAAGATCTCATTCAATTAACGAAATCCTGCAAGGCAGCCACCTATGAGGCACCACCCACCACCTTGCTGAAGAATGGTAGTTTCACTAGTTTGTCTACAAGATCTTCGATGAAGAAGTGCGACACAATATGATAAAGAAAGAACTGACAGAAACAAATCCTACTGAAAATGAGAAAAATTATGAAACAGATAACTGTAATATATATCGGAAATACAAATATCGGAATACAATACATATATACGCCATTTACCCGAATACACAGCGTTTCTACGAAGTGCATACGGGGATCATTCTTCGCTTTTCATCGAGCAGCTGATCATGTCGTCGGAATCTGGAGTACAACAAGGCGACCCACTGGGCCCGTTACTGTTCTGCCTTGCACTCCAGCCGCTTGTAGCATCTTTAAAGGCGGATTTAAACGCCTGGTTTTTGGACGACGGAACCTTGGGCGGTAAGCCAGCGACTGTAGCGCACGCTTTTGGCCAGAGTATAGTCATTATACTGAAAGCCCGCGAAATCGGTCTAGTGGTGAAGGAAGCAAAGTGCGAGCTTCACATCTCCGGAGGAACCCAGCAAGAACGAGATGATGTCGTTGCAGATTTTCTGGAGATGTACCCGCGGCTTCGCATTCTCACAGATGCCGACTTCTTACTGTTAGGTGCACCGGTTTTGGACGATGCTATTGGCCCAGCCGTGGCCGAAAAGTGCTCGACCGTGAAAACGGCATGTGAGCGGTTGGAGCTCTTGCCACGTCACCACGCTCTTTTCCTCTTGAAAAACGGCCTAGGCGCCCCGAAAATTATTTACATGCTGCGTTGCTGCAATGCCTGGAAGCAACCACAACAGCTTTATCAGCTAGATGAAACCACGCGGCTATGCTTCCAAACTTTGTGCAACGTACGCACGGCTCACAACGACTACCCGTGCTGGCGGCAGGCGACGCTACCAGTAAGCAGAGGCGGTATTGGCATACGTCGGGCGGAAGAATTAGCGCTACCAGCCTTTCTGGCTTCGATTCATTCCGTATCCGGCATAGTGTCGCTACTGCTTCCTGACCATCCTTCGGTAGATGTCCTGGCCGCCTCCGAGTTGTGGAAGTCAAAAGCGCGCCTTGATGAACTACCTGAGCAAAACTTCCGTAAGACACAACGAGCATGGGACCTTCCGCTGTGCAACGCATCACTGTCTTTACTTTTGGAGATCTTTCGCGACGACGATGTCAACCGGGCCCGCCTCCTGGCTCAGTCGACGCCAGAAGCTGGCTTGTGGCTGAATGCCTTGCCCTCGGCACACATTGGCAATCTCCTTGATGACGACACGGTAAAAATTTCAGTCGGTTTGAGACTAGGCGTTTCCATCTGTGAGCCGCATTCATGCGCCAAGTGTCACAAGCCCGTTGATGCATATGGCCACCACGGCTTATCCTGTTCCTTCTCTGCTGGAAGACATCCGCGTCACGGCGGCCTGAACAGTATCGTCTGCAGAGCGCTGGTGTCAGCGGGCATCCCTGCCAAACTGGAGCCGCGCGGAACATCCCACACGTCGGATCGTCGCCCGGATGGGTGCACGACCTTCGCCTGGAAACGCGGTATGTGCTTGGCGTGGGACGTCACCTGTGTCGATACCGTCGCCTTGTCTCACTTAAAATCCACGTCAGCTTCTGCTGGATCCGCCGCAGCACAGGCCGAAGATAAAAAAGTGCGACTGTACTTGTATCTGTTGGGAAGATACATCTTCGCGCCTTTAGCCTTCGAAACTCTCGGACCATGGGGAAAGTCGGCCATCGCTCTAATTAAAGAAATTGGGAAACGACTCCAGCTCCAAACAGGTGAACCTCGTTCCCATGAGTTCCTGCGCCAGCGAATATCGTTGGAAATTCAGCGAGGCAACGCCACTTGTGTACTTGGAACAATGGAAGGAGCGGCAGCATTAAATGAGATTCTGTTGCTGTGAATTCGTGACTAACTATTTTCGATATGTAATGTACCCGTATTTATGAAATATCGGAAAAACAGAAAACCGAAATATCGGAAATACAAAGTTGGAAATTTGCAGGGCAACCGCCGTACGGAGGTGACGCAATGAACAAATCTGAAATTAACTGACGCGTGCACGGTTTTGATTCGCGTTTTTTTGGATGTGTCATCATTTGTGGCATTTTATGTGATTTTGCTTTTCTTATCCTTGATTCCTTAGCATCCCACCTTTCGACTTTCATCAGTAACGTTTTATAATCAGTAATGTATCAGTTTTATAACTACTTCAGTGGAAACATCACAGAAAATGCCGTGGAACGTGAATCTCGTCTGTCTTTGTGACTGACTGATCTTGGACATTTGAGTGCTTTGCCTTTGCCGTCATGAATCTGTGCCTGGATATTGCTATAACTTTGGGATAGTCGAATGGCGCCATGTTCATCTCCTTTCAGCAGATCGTGGCGGTCGATGCCCGCTACAGCCTGCATCGTATCCCACAGCATCCCCAGTTTCGCACCCTGTGCATTCGACGGCGCAGGCAACTGCTGCGGCAGGTCTTCAAAAGCGATGGCCAAATGGTGTCGGGCGCTGCGGCCAGCAGTCTGACACCCGACGAAGTGCGGGACAGTCGCAAGACCTATTGGCATACACGGCTGGCCCTGCTGGCGAAAAAGTACGGATCGCAGATGGACAGCTGCAGTGTGTTTGGCTCGTCGGGAAAGAAAAGTCGCTGTCGCAGTACAGTATCAGCCGCTCCACCATCAGCAGTCGTCTGTCGGAGGAGGATCCGATGAGGAGAACACCGTGCATTCGGCCAGTGTTACCACAGCTGCTGGTAAGATTATATTCGGGTCAAACTAGAAAAAGTTTTGTATCCAAATGACAGATGTAGCTATAACGGATTCGTAGATAGTGGTGGTTAAATAACGTAAATCGTTCTTTTTTTCCATGGTCGAAGTGATTCAGAATTTCGCTCACATCGATAGTTGAATACTAGACCATGTGCGTTGGTTACTTGTATGGCCGACAAGTAAGGATCCATCTATACAAGTTACGTCATGACCGAACCCACACCGCGGCGATTCGCTGCCGCGCAAATTAGATGTATGCGTGTGTGAAGGCGGTGCCAAAAATCCATCCACGTAAGGCCCTTACGTGTATGCCTGTAACTCCACCCCTTTGCATGCATACATACAAGTAGCCGATCCAGCTGCCAGTCAACCTCGAAATTTCAAACGCTCGTTTTTCGTTTGCTTCTCAACGGATCTTCCCAGTCGACATATCAGAAGATGGAAAATTAAATTTAAAACTTTTTGGTATTTTGCAAGTGGATATTTATGGCGAATCAAGAAAGTTATGACTGTTTTGGTTTCTCGTAGACTTAACATAGGATGCAAGCCACCGCCTCCTTTCACGGGCCTATGCTAAGTCTACGAGAAACCAAAACGCTCTTTCTTGATTCATAAATATCTACTTAGATACTAAAAGTTTCTTCATCTTCTGATATACGAAAAGATCCGTTGAAGAAGTTTTCAAAATTTTGGAGATCAACGGGCAGTCAGATTGGCCACTTGTATATGTACATGCGAGGCAGCTGGCACCTACACGCGTGCCGCACCAGCTCGCTCAAACACGTTACGACCCATACACAAGCCAGTTTTCAGGCGGTTCTAACGTTAGTTGTATGTATGCATGCGTAACTTGTACACATACAAGTTGCAGCGCTAATGCACTACTCATTCGATATTCATCGTGATCGTAGTATTACATATTTGCCAATGGTTACCAATTTGTTTACATTCGTTTCGCGCTCATTTCGGCCCACGCTTGATTTCGTCATGCTTTTCGGTTTTAAGTCTCGCAGTCAGTGTCAGTTACAGAGTACATTCATTACATTCCGTTTCTGACTTGTTCTTTCCGTTTTGCCATTAGATTTTTTCTCAGATTTTGTCCGAACCTGCCTTTTTTGTTAAGCTTTCTCTTCATATTTGCGGTGATTAATCCAACTTAAAGCTGTCGACGAATTAAACTAGTCATGTCCACCAGTGCAACTTCATCGGAGGCTCCGACCGGCCGGGCGGAGCCATGCGACGGCCATGCTAACAGGTCGCAATCGTCTGGCTGGCTTAGTGGAGCAGGCGTTCGCCAGTGGGGACCTCAGTGATGTCCGTTTCACCGTGGGACGTCAGTCTGGCGACGTGCAGGATTTCACCGCGCACAAGTAAGAATGAATATAATTATATACTGTATACAACTGTATCGAAGGCTCAGCCACAGCCAAACTTGGAACTGTCGTTTCGTGTCCCAGGCTGCTCGTTATCTTGCCTTTTGTGCCGTTTGTCACCTGAACGTTGTTGTTCACTGCGCAGGTTTGTCTTGGGAATTCGCAGCCCGGTGTTCCGCATGATGTTCTACAGCAATGTGCCCGAAAACAGCCAGGACGCCGTAGATATCTCCGATATTCACCCGGATGCCTTTGCCAACATGTTAAGGTAAAAGTGAAACTAATATTAGGAAAAAAAGGTAATTAGACTGTTAGAAAAAAATTTAGGATTATTATCGGTAATTCTCCTGGCCACTTTGAAACAGGTAGGGAAATTGGTCATCTATAAAACTAACAAATTAAATGTTTTTATTTGTTAAGATTTGAAAAAAGCGATCGAAAGCAGCGTAGTCGCGGAAATTAGTGATCGGATTTCCCTTTATCTGCAGGCTGTGTTAGGGTTGAAATTCACGAGGCTTAGACCCATTTGTGAAAAGAAGTGAAATGAAAGTGAAATGAAGTGAAATGAAATGAAACGTGAAATAAAAAATTAAATTTAAATAGATTATTTTGGCTTTTATTAGGGTTGCAAACAGCCGATAGCAGTTAAAATATTACTTAATACTGCAACTGCACGGTACTAGTAGAAGTTTAATATTTCAAAAAAATTCGTTGTAAGTGGATTACTAAATTTATTATTCAGTACAGACTATACAGTAAGTGCAAAAAGATTGTGCAATTTGCTTTTGTTTTTACTACAGAATAAGATAAAACTGTTTAAAACTAAAATTAGGAGTAGAAGTTTGAAAATGGTAATCCGTGTATAAGAACAAGGCGTACAAAGAAAATGTTCATTTCGATTCAAAAAAACAGCGCAGTAGCGTCTGCGGCACGGAATTTCTTTCGAGTTAGATACTAGTCGTATTTGGGCGCGCGGCGCGCCTTTTGAGCTTGTCCGTGCGAGGTCCAGCTGTAAGTAGCCGAGAAATTTCATTATTTGCATTTGATCTTAATTGCACTGTAAACACTTTTAAAGATTATTTCTTTCTTATCAGCTGTACGAGATCCCAGTTTGACAAACCGAATTCTTCTACCTTGGCACGAATAGTTTTCTTTAATTAGCCGAACTCTTAGTATTACTGGGAAGAAGAGTAGAATTTAATCTTAGGCGTTTTGGCTAGCTATGCATTTAGATTTCTGAAATTACCTGCACTAAAAGCGTACGAACAACGTTTTCTTCTCTTCCAGTTGCAACATTAATGCTTACGCGCAGTGCTGTTTAATGCAGGGAATCGAATTAGAAGCGGTCACACAAAAAAATACAACGGTGTGAACATTTTCGTTGCAAGAAATATAGGGAATCGCTCTAGTTTCGTCCGCTTCTGATGCATTTCAAGCGATTTCACGATTTCACCATTTCATGCATTTCACGTTTCATTTCATTTCACTTTCACGTTTCACGCGAGGGTCCGCGTGATTGTGAAATGAAAGTGAAATGAAAAGTGAAATGTGAAATGGTGAAAGCCTGATTTCAACCCTAGGCTGTGTTCTGGCATGCTGACAACATCGTGCACGAGTGTCTGGCGTTGGTGGATCACCACGACCAATTCGATGGCATCACACAGGAAACACTGCAACGTATTCTGCAGCGCAAGACACTGCTGGCGGAGGAGCGTGTGATTGATTTACTTGGCTGTTGAACGGTACAGAATTTATAGTATTTGTTGTATTGTTGTCTACTTATTTTCGTTGTTGAATTTCTTTTACTTGTGAGAACAATACTGTAAAATGGTGAAGACCTTCTTTGGGAATAAAGGCTGTGACACTTTTCTCGACAACTGTTGCATCTTTTTTGCCCTACTTTTAGCGCACAAGCGCACTCTTACTGTTCGCTTTCAAAAGTTTATGTATTTTTACTTACGATGGACATTTTTTTGTGAATTTTATTTTTTAATGTTCTTTTTCCAAACACATTTGCTTCCGGAGTAAAAACACAGTTGCATTTACCCCAGTTAATTACACAGCTGTTTTTTAAAAGCCTCTTTAATAATTGTATATGGTAGCACAATCATAAGCTAAATAATATCTGCAGCTTGTGCAGGTGCATATGCATTACATAGCAATAGCAGAGTAAAAAGATGCCACCGCTATCGAGGAAAGTCAGAAAACACGGTACATTGTAGGAAGCACCCTTTTGACTAATCCGTACACTGTTTTTGTCACTATCCTCTATATCATTATACCGGGTGGCCGAACAAAATGTCACCCTCCGCATTTGTTTCGCCCCGTGCGAACTACTAAACGCAATTTAAACAAAGTAGACTCATTCGATAGACAATTTCTTAAGCTACTAAACCCAATAAAACATTCTTTTGAAAAGCTGATATCTCTCGTTAACAATGGCGCCAAGTGAAATCGTGTCAAAAGTTTTAGTGTCCCAGCTCGCAAAGTTCAAAATTTCGCCTCAGTTATTGTCCTTGCGTAATATCTTAAGTTTTTAAAATGTTTTATTTAGAGTAAGATTTCGTCTTTCAGTCGGGAAAAATTTGTTGGGATGGTGCATGCACTGGATGAGCTATGCACTAAGCAACCTTTTCGACAGTTCGGAAAAATTACGATTTTTTTCATCTGTTTTTTTAAGTATTTTAGTTACAATTTTTTGTTCAGTACTGGGTGCAATAAAGAGCGCTGGGGCAACTGGAAACTGTGGGTGGGTGAGTACCCTTTCAAACACGGGTGTGAACCAGGACTGCATTCGAAGTAATGGTCTGCAAATTGTTTTCAAAACGTCCGCCACCCCGTTTCATGAAGATCAAATGTAAGGAGTACCAAACCTTTCGCTCGTTGGCCAGCCAAGGTCACTAGAATGTTTTTATTCTTTACAGTAGAAAAACCAGGAACAATCCCTCTTTCTGAAATACTAACCTCATAAACAATAGCGTACTTGGTTAAATATCTACAATTCAAATTTGAAAATAAAGAAATTTGAATTTTTGTTTCTAGGACATCACTCAAATCCACCCATTTCTGCAAAATATTTCAGGAAAAAAGGAAGCTCTTTTATACAAGGACATCTGGGTGCTGTGAACATACCCTCTAAGATTAGGGTGCAATGAACATCCGACTGCTCTGCAACTCGCAACGCTTGTTCTGTGACTTTAAATTGTGAAGCAGTATGATCTTCTAAAAAGTGGTTAGAAGATACAGTAATTTTTTGTGGCCCGTAATTTGTCGAAACAGACGGTGTAAATACTTGGATATAACATTTTTGTCAAAATAAAATTTCCCGTAAAATTAGTGCCCGGGTGTTCATCGCACCCTAATTGTGAAGGGTATGTTCACAGCACCCAAATGTCCTCGTATTGTTGGTTTAACTTAACTTTCTTGTGTCATGAAAAATGCTCTTTCGAATAAAACTAAAATCATGTCAATCAATTAGCGGATTGGTCCAATACACCTTTGTAAACCAGGGTGACATTTTGTTCGGCCTCCCGGTACACACTTCCTGAAAGTACCGAGACTATCCAAATAAACTTCGTCCAACCTCTTACCGATACAGAACGTCTTACCGATACAGATTATTATTGATGTTGTTGTTTTAGCTGGGGAACCGCGGCCTGCGCTAGTATCACCGTGGACGCTTCGACTGCGGCCAATCGCCGTCATATGCTGGGAAACGCGTTGTTCCATGTGTGGTTTCCGCTGTTGAATAACACGGAACTGGCGGATGGTCCGGACAAGGTAAGTTAAATGGCGTTTCTGTTTCAGATATGCAATTTTAAATTTTGTATAATTTCTTTGCTGTTGTGTTGCAGAGCGGATTGTTGACGGAAGGGGAACTGCTGAGCTTGTTCATGTACCAGAATGCCACAGTGAAGCCGACACTGGCGTTTCCCACCGAACGTCGCTTAACGAAGGAACAACAGAAAGAACAGAGTCCGCCGACGTTGCTTCGCACGGGTGATGAATAGTACCCATTCTGGTGCCGTTGGCGTCGCCCACGGCCCCCTGCGGACGGTCCACGCATTCACACTGACCCCTGGTCAGCTTCGCCACACTACTCGCGCACGGCGCGGCGTGCGGGGGCGTGGCCTACAGTAGCACACAGTTATGCTTCTGCACACGCGGATTGGCTTGCGCGCACACTGGTTGCCATGCATTTTGCATATGTAACGTGCAGCATAATTACAGTATGCAGATGAGTTTTCCGCTATATTTTCAACGGCAAACATTTGGAGAACCCAACCTCTTATCTCACTGTTATTGTGGATCTTTAGCAAAACTAACGCAGAATTATCGTCTCAAAGGTTTGTACTTTTGAATCAGATTAAGTATGCCATTTGGCCCGTTCAGCATTTACTCGCCAATTAGCTTATGCCTGTTTCTTGTGATAACCACCGTTTTTAATTTACAGATTGAAGATTATCGTCCCTGGTTGTTTCTATAATCATCCCTCAACTCTGGAAACAAAGTCTCTGCAGGTGCGTGAATTATTAATTGTATTATTATTATGAGTTATTATAGTTTGTGGTTAAACGTACTGTAACTGTTGTCTGTCGGGAATATGGATTAAAGTTATCGGACGGCATTTTTGTCGATTGTTCTTGCGTAAATTGAAAATAGTTTGCCATCTATTTGTCCGGCCACTGTACAACGTCTTTTCATTTTATTAATCATTTTATTATTATGTTGTGCAGCGTACAGTATTTCAAATCCTGTATTAGTCACATACACGAATTATGTCCTCTCCGTGTAAACAGTGATAAAAGTTTAAAAGTAGGTCGAATAGTTGGACTGAACTAACTGCCTGCGCTGCAAATAGATTTTAAAAAATATTCTCTTGAATCCTTGAAGCTAAGAAGTTAAATTAATGCCGTCGCAATAGGTTTAGCTATTAGCAGAATTTGTTAAGACCTTTGTGTGAATTATTTTTAAATTATTTAGTGGTGTGTGTAGATTGTTCTCCAATCAACTATAAATTTTAAAAAGTCATTCATTTGAATTTTGTGCCGTATTTCCGCCGCGCTTTACGGCTGATTTTTATGCACGAATATTATCGCTCTAAGTTTGAAAAATACGGAATGAGATACTTCATTTGATTTAATTTACATATTATCGTGCCACGAATTTGTACTATCGCTCAGTAGCTCCGAGCAGGAAATCGTAGTTTATATTCGTACCTGCAATAAATGCTTTATCTTTGCAGCATTTGCGCGCGAAGCAGCGGCCACCGATATTTCTTTTTGTCATCGTTCACCATTTCCTGGATTGTTGCCTGCATCACCTGTTGGCGATCGGATACCGAGCGATTTCCGTGTGAGCCTCCCACCTCTGTCGGCCACCGAAACCCGTGGCGTTGTGGCATCAGCGCGTATCCTGTCCGCTCCTCCTCCGGCTCTCAAGACTGGTTCAGACTGCCAGGGCTGTGCAACAGCTCTAGCACTGACCATTCGCGACACCGACCAGGGCTTATAGCTTTAGTCTGTCGCGTGCTGCGTGGTGTCGGTCTGACTTAAACGCAGGGTAAACTCAAAAGGTAAATGGCGGTTATAGTTTTGATTTAATTTTTGGTGGTTTTTAAGATCAACTTGATTTCATAATTTCTGCCCAACTATCGAAACGCTCAATTTATAAATTATAAATTTCTTTCTACATAATTATTGTTTGCCAAACATTACTTTATCATTTATATGGTATTTTGATTTTTATATGCAATCATCTTATTTTTAGTTCATCGTTAACAATACGATTTATCTGAATCAGATATTAAGCTGTAATAATTTACAAATATTCGTGCCGCCCTCGCAGTTTACGAAGTCTTCGTTTTTGCTAATACAGTTATGTTACAGCTGGCAGCAGCCGGAAAAAAGTGCTAGGCGGCTTACCATCGTTAGAAGGTTAATAAGACTTTATGAAAATAATAATTAGAATTCAGATATGGCGTATTGTCGGGCATCGGGCGAACGTAAAGTCTACGTGGCATTTTGTAGGAGTGCGCTACTAATTGTTGCCTTTCAGCAGCTGTCCGCATGGCGTCCACAGTGGTGCGACCGTCGTTTGTTATGCCGCCGGGGGATCTGCCGGAGCCCTTTTACCAGCTTCGCCCACGTTCCCTGCAGCGGGGACATGATCCGGTTGAGGACCACAAGGGAAGCTTCCGTAATTCCCGTACGATTGTCCCCACGGATTCTCAAGGCCCTCCAGTTCTCCTGTGCTCGGATCGAGATCCGGAGCGCCAAGAGGATAGCCGTTTACGCGGTTTTCGTGATCCCCGCTCCAACTACGGCCGCATTTTCAAAACTCTCCATGACGGGGAGGTGTTTGTGGTCTCTCTCAGCGGCGCGTCGGTGCGCCAATTGCTGAAGCTGGTCGGCAACCACATCGAGGAAGCGTACGGTATCAGCCGCCGAGACGATGATAATGCTCGCAAGTGGCCGCCGAGACCGTCCGGAGTGTCGAAAAAGCGGCTGGTTCTGGTGGCCGGGACGAACGATCTCTCCGACTACCTGAAACGCGGAGCGACCGGATCAGCGGCCCGGGTTGTGGAGCGGGTGATGGATGCCATTCATGGCCACCAGCGCAGTATCGAGGAGTGGTGCGATGAAGTCTTCCTCGTCCGACTGCCGTTCTACGAGCGGGATAATCGCTTTCACAACCCGGTGCCGGAATACAATCGGCACCTGCGCGAATGTGATCATGCTGTCCGGGAAGTCAACAGCGAGCTGGATAGGTTCTGTTATAAGAACAGCTCATCCCGCCGAACTATCTGGCGCACCGTCCGTGTTCCCGTGGATGACGTGACCATGCGAGCCGATGGGCTGCATTGGGAGTATTCTCCGACCATGTACCGGGCATTCTTTACTGCCCTGGCAGACGCCATGACGTGGGCCGTAGAAGGTATGCTGATAGCGCGTGTAGCTGTCTCGTGGCGGTTATGCGGTGGTTTAGGTCAATTATTACATGCTGTTAAATTGTGTTTATTTTGCAGAACGCCAGCGTGCGGCTGATGATTACTTGCATCAGAACCGACATGCTATCGGCGTCCTGACCGCCACCCTGGACACGTACGAGAGCAGGGGAGCTGCTAGGGAGCGTCGATGCCAGGAAGAAATGGGCGTGTCAGCGCGGCACATCAAGCAGTACACCGAGCGGCACGTCCAGGAGAGCACGTGCAGGCTGTCCAAGCTGGAGGGGCAGGTGAAGCAGGGACTGAAGGCCATGGAGAAGATCGAGAAGGAGTATGTACTGGTGAAGCGCGCACAGCAGGAAAAGGAGGCCAAGAAAGCGCGGAATAGGGCTCGTAATGTGATCGTCCACAAGAAACGCAGCGTGAAACGTCGCGATGAACGGGCTGCTGATAAGAAGCTGTATAAGGCCGTCCAGCTGGCTCGGCGCTGGCTGAAGCCGAACGGCAGCCTGGATCGCTACTTGCGATCTCGCCATAGAGTGGAGTTGATGAGTTTCTGGTTGTCTCTGTAACAGTATTTGGCAATTTTGTTAGTTGTTTCTAACTGCTACTTTATATTTCTAACTACTATGAATTTGTATGGATGTGTGGCTGGAGTGGTGCGGAGGCTGTTCTGAAATGTGAACTAATAATAATAATAATAACGCGGCAATAAGCAGCAATAATTATTCTCATACCGTGGAAGTATGAAGTGTAATAATAAATAACGCAGGAATTGCACATTCAATCGATGACCCGACAATAATAATACAACTAGTCGCTGTGTTAATATCTGCTCATCCAAACGCAGTTCGGAAAACGCATTCTGTTCTTCTATATGCAGATGCCTGCGCGCAAGCGCCCGCATAGCGGCGGTAGGAGTGAGGCAATTTGTCTGCCATTCCGACAGCGGGAGGAACTGAATTTCAGAGCTGAAGGGAAACGGTTCCGTGTTGCCACTGCGGGTGACGCGCTTGTTCCTTGTGCACCGGAAACCCCTGTCAGTGAGCTTCTGGAATGTCTGGAAAACGCAACGAGGCGAAGCCTCCGCACTGCCGGCTCTCATGTAATCCCGCGCTTCTTGCGTTGACGCGTTTATCTAGATAATAACTTCTGACCTATCTTAATATAGCCAGCTGGTCAGGAAACAGCTGACGTCGGACTCGCCTCTGCTCTGATGCCCTTGGCTTCTCCTTCGACGTCCGCCGGGCACGCTACCGCAGACAGTTCCGCCAGCGGCGCTCTCATCGCTGCTCCTGGAGCGACACTCGCGACTAACCAAGGCGAGACAGCCGAATCCGACGCTGAAGATGAGGAGTCCGAGGGGAGGTTGCGCATAGCCCACACTGACACTGACAACGACACTAACAGCAGTAACTCCATTGCTGACAGCTCTCCGCTGGTCACGAGTACGCAAGCGAACTGCATTACAACTTCCGTCGCCACTCCGATGACTGTTATCACCGAACCAATAATGGCGACCGAAGATCCTCCTGCCACGCCGCATCGGCGGCCAACTCGCCCACCTGTGCCTGAAGAAGAAGTGGAGAGGTTGCGACAAACGATGCTGGTATGATGACTTTAATTTGCAGAGATTATTTTTCAATATTTAAAATCCCATATCTGCAATACAGGTTCCTCCAAAGCCAGGTTGGGATGCAGATCCGTTTGTGCGACCGCTTCCCGTAGTCAGATACCCGATAAGCCGCGAGAACTGTGGGGCAGATTGCAGCAATTTCATGAGGGACGTGCATTATGTTTTGGGAGACGATTGGTACGGCGTTGTGGTAAGCTAAAGCTCTGGTCCTGCAGCGGCAGCATTTTCGCAACATTATTCTGGAAAACCGTGTTGTCTGTGCTTTAGATTGACGTAAACGAACAACTCAAGTACGATCCCAAAGACCTACATGAAAGCGAAGAATTCAAAAGAGCCGTGCAGGAGAAGCGTGTGCAGTACACAAGGGTAAAGATCAAGCAGGTGGATAAAACGCTTGTCTATTTCGACTCACCTGACAGCACCCAACCACTTCCGGACGGCGTTTCCTGGTCGGAATTCATTGAGATGAATGCAAAGGAGTACGCATCCCTTAACGAGCGCGTTCCTCACGTCCGGCCGGAAATGGAAGAAATGCTAGCTGATTCCGGCCTTCCCGAGCCCATCAAAGAGTTATGTATTGCCTTTGCTCAGATGGCAGCCACTCGACAGACCAAGGACAAATTATTTTCAACGTACGGCCACTTCAGCCCAAAGTTGCTGTCGAATGTAAGTACTTGAAGCCTGTTTTGTTTACCGTTATTGTGTGTAATTTTTGGACGCTTGCAGTTACCGGACTGGTCTGGTCTGGTTTGCCTTGTGCGTATCATGGACCAGACCCATGGCGTGAAAGAGTTGCGGGCAGGGATCAACGAACAGGAGCTGATTATGGGCCCTGGCGGACCCAGTGGATTTCCGAAACACACGGAAGATGGTCGGATGAGCTCCTTTAATTTCGTGTTGTGGGGAGCAGAGAAATACTTCATTTGTGTTGCACCAAGACATGCAGGCACTTTGCAGCGAGTTGTGGGCAAAATCTACAAGGATATGGGATACGGAGACATCTGTCCGCAATTAGTCATCGGTCATCACCATAAGACTGCTTTCTTGCTCGTTCTCAAATGTATGCGGCAGATGGAAATCGAAGTTTCGTATGCCATTTTGGAGGCGGGAATGGGCATCTATTTGCGCCCCAATACGCCGCACTGGGGTGGCCAAGTGGGCGCCAACGTTGCCGTGGCTATTAATGTTGCCGACCCGGAAAAGTATCCGGGCGAAATTCTGGACGGAAGGAAGTACATTCAGTGTTCGCACGATAAGCGAATAATGGCGATGAAATATTCCAAAAGTGCCCGTGGATTTGATGATAAAGAGACCATGGACATGCTGGACGCCACATCCCGAGCATATGAAATGAGAATGGTTGAACTGAACTGGCCCCTTCGCCCCCAAATCACGGACGCTCCAATTTCCGTCCCCGATGTGTTTACCGTAGAAGACGAAGAAACTCGGCTGCAACTACTTCATGCCCAAACCGCAGCCCAGGTGATGGCAGATATTCATCTTTTCACCGGAATAATTCCAGCCAGCCGAATCAAACTCGATTTCAACATTCATGGTGTAAGAGAGAAGGATGCCGGTTTTATCAGGATTTGAGAAGCGATATTGATAAAAAGAAAGAAACGGAAACCGGAGTTGACTGGCATTTTATCGCAGCCGTATTTTCCAATGTCGATAAAGAAACGCTAAAGGAAGAGCTGAAAGCGGGCAGGCAGGACGTTTTTCTGCTAGACGGCGTTCAACGCTTTGCTGCCACAGCTGGACCTCCACTTAATTTCCAGCGTTTTCCCGTAATTGTGGTCATCAATCCCAGCAATCCTAGGCTTGAGCAGATACTCACCCAGCAAACTCAGAAACATAACAATGCGACCTTGGCGCCTAGTGGATGGCAGTGTGTCAAGTTCTTGCGGGCGATTTATCAGCGGGTTGTTTCTGTCTTTGCTGCACAGTCCGGCCTCCCAGCAAGGCGTTTCTGCACGGTGCACGCAGGAAAACTGGATATTGAGCCCGCATTCCGGAAAGCCCTATTAACGGAACTGGTGAACACTTACCCCGAATTCATCATGCTTTTCAACGTCAAAGAAAAGGCTGCAAAAAAGGAAGAATATCGGTGGAAGAGTGAATGCTTTTGTGCCATGCGCAAAGTTGCCCAGCTTCCGGAAGAGTGTATGGAGCGGCTGGAAAAACTGTACGCCCGGGGTGAAGTCGGCTGGAAAGCTATGGGAATCGCGAAGGCCACTGGTACATACAAGCTTTTGTACCTGGGTAACTACATCACACCTATGAAACTAGCGGATATGTTGCCAACTGGCGCTGAAGACCCGAATCCGGACGTTCGCTCCGAGTTCTATGCACTGTTTCCAACGGTGGAAGACCTCTTCGATTTTTTCAATTATTTGCTCGGCCTTCTTCTACGTGCACCAGAGGACGCTCCGCAGAAGTTTAGTGCCGTGAAAAAATGGAGAGAGAGGGTAGGTTGAGGGAATAAATTGAGTATCCGTAAGAGTATTGATAGATGTATGCGTGTTGCAGGTAGAGGACTGGCAAAACTCCCGCCAACCGATACCAGCAGCGGTTGCTCCAGTCGCGGATAAGGCGGACATCGTGGATGAAACAGTCACCGCCAGGGAAAGCAACGGTTCTTCCGCTTCTTCCACTAATGTACCCGAAACTGCCAGCCACCCGCACGACAGCTTGGGGAGCTCGGAAACTGGCGGAGCAGAAGGTATTTTGTGTACCACTACACGACCGATCGAGCCCGAGCCTGCGACTACCGTAACGGAACCGATCACGCCTCCCGATTCCCCTTTTCTGGATCAAGGTGTTGACCGGTCTTCAGCGTCTGGCTCCCCCGACCTACCTGCAGCGGTTGACACGGCGGAAGACCTGTCCGAATCGTCTGTAGTGGCTGCCACATCGGATTTCGCCCAGGAGTCCAGCAAGACGGTGGCGACTGAAGCACGCACACTGACAATGGCATCTGTTGATAACGGCGAGCAGCAGAGTGAAACGCCAACTGAACTGGATCCTCCGCAGACGGTCGACTTGACTCAGCACGGCACAGTTACTGGTCCGGAGTCTTCGGATGATACTGGTTTATCGGCAGCGGTTGACACGGGAGAAGACCTACCTGAATCATCGGAAGTGTCGACTACAACGTTGAAAGATGTGGACCCAGGACGGACGATAGGCCACCACCAACTGGATTCAGAGGTTGTCGTAGAAGACAAAGACGATGATGATGAAGCAGACGGAGGAGATGATGGCGGCAATGAAGTTTTCGACGACGACGAAGAGGACAAAGAATCCAAGGGCAAGAAGGACACCACAGACAACGAGGAGAATGGTGACGCTGACCTTGCCAGCTTTGAATCGGAAGGCAGCAGTGATGACGACGATGAAGACTACCATCCCTCGCGGGCACCCAAAGGAAAAGGAAAGAAGGCAGCGTCTGCTTTCATTTCTGATCTGGAGCTGGAACGAGCTTCATCGGCTGATCCAGATGTCATAATTTTGGACGACGATGCTGATGACCCGGTAAGCTGGGGACTGTTTTTTCGAAAATCGATTAAAATGGTGACTTTGTTGTACTGTTTAGTCCACGGCTCGTCATCGCGTGATGCTGCAAGACCTCGGCCGGTGTCTACAGGACAGCAATGCTCAGCCGTTTACCGAAGTGCACCCGCCAACTCGTGTGAAACGGACAGAGTGTGTGGAGATCTTGGAACACACAGCAATCAAAGTAGCCGCCAGCATTCAGTTGAACAACAACCTACTGGTTAAGTACTAATAACACCTACTTCAACCTGAATTTAGCATTGACAAAAAATTCCTGGTTTTCAGATTGAAGCTCAGGACTTGTTTATTGGCAAGTTTTCCCTTGTGCCAGTTCGGAGCATTCGGCCGGAAGTTGTGCGGGTCCTTAACTTCCCAAATTCCGAATCACCTCTTGCCACCATTCAAAGTTTTGGATTTCTACGGGAACATCGCGCCGTTTATGAACTCGAAGAGAAGGTGGACGGATCGAATATTGATCTCACTAATGGGCAGTATATTGAAAGATACGTCCCGAAGGATTCAGAACACCGAACCCACGACAAACTCCAAATCACCCCTGAACAGACAATTGCAATTTTTCACGTGTGGAAGTCGTTTTTCTCGTACGACAGTAGCCGTTTCATTGTCGCAGAGCAAAACAACAGACGAATTTTGGTAAGGACTCTCTCTCCCTTCTTACTGCACCAACAGTTTTGTTTTAAGTTTTGCATAATTTAAGATGTGTAAACCACCGGACGCGCATCAAGTGCGGGCGCTTTTGACCACCATACGGGGAGCGCTAAGAAAGTCTTCCATGCGCAAGGACGAAGATGCGGCGGCAATCGGAGTCTTGAAAAAGGTTTGTAGCAATTTTACAATAAAGACCTGTCTGCATCTACTGGCTCTTTCTCTTACTTAACTACTAACTGATACACTTGTAGATTCTTGCCGAACATAACACTCTTCTGCGACATCTTCGCGAGTTTATCCGCGTTACCGAGATTCCGTGCTCCAGTGCTGTGGACTCAACCACATCTGATGATTTCTACGCCGTGTTCCAAAATTACTTCACGATTCGCGACATGCCAGCAGTTGGTCACAGTCTTTTCCAAGCCTTATCGTCTGTCCTTTTTTCGGAAGACAAATTCCACCTACTCCTGCGCCTTGCTACTGTGGATGCGCTCGCAACGCATTTCACTGACTTCCTCCCTCACGTGCGCTCACTGGTGAAGGATAAAAGTGTCGGTCTACTGGAGGTCGTTTTCCGCACAGCAGTAGTTGCAGCAGAGGTTTCGCAGAAATCAAACGGCAGTGCAATTCATCTCTTCGGTCTGGCTACCGCCCTGCAGCGGCCCATCTGCTCTTATCGGGGTTTCTTTCAGGGAAATCAGCCGGAAAATTGGGAAGGATATTCGGCAGGAGAGGTGAGTTTCAAAATTTGAGGAATAAGTTTCACGGAAAGCGTATAAATGTATTTTTACCAAACAAACAATGTTTACTTTACAGGTCGAAGTTCTGATACGCACTGAACGTCGGCCCGGCAAGAAACATTATCTGTTCTTGCCAATCAACACGCCATCCTCTGCTACGGAGAAGCCGGTGCGCGTGTTGCACACCATAGAAGATCACTATCTGGCTTGCATTGCGAAACAGGCGGGCTATGAGGAGCACTTCATGCCAACGGTGGGCATTCCCGCCGCCATCGTTGTTGCGGAAAAGCAGGGGACTTGAAAGGTTATTGCGGACTGCAAAGCAAGTGGCGCCAGCGTCTACAGTGATAGGCCGGAAAGCGACTGATTTAGTAGTTCTGCCCTATAGAACCGTTTGTTTAGTAGGCGAATCGTTTCGCGGTTGCTGTTTGTTTTTGTTGACGTAACCGTGACAGGATAAAAATTTTGTGATACAGCAAATTCTTTTTGCGTTTATGTTAAGCATGTCTGTATGAGTCGGCGTACGCTGGGTTTTGAAGAGGGGAAACGTTTTCATGTTTTCGAATTCCTTGGTATACTGGATAATGTGGAGCTTTTACAGTTGTTGCTGCAGTCTTTTGTTGTTGTTTCTTTGACTAGAATAAGTATGAGATGATTGCGATAAAAAGCGCAGGGTTGCTGGCTTTATACACCGTTTTATCGCTTTTTTTACACATGCCACATTATGAATTTGACGACACGTACAGCCCGAGGCAATTTGTTCAAAGTATAAGTGTAATTAGCCAAAGCTTGTTAACAACAAGACGTTAAAACAACTGCACGGTCAATCATTCATTATGCAGGCAACACTCTGTACATTCAAAGTAATCAATTCGGGATCCCGAAAGAGACTCACTGTATTCAACAGAAACGGACTCGCTGATTTGCACAGAATCACTTCCATCTTTTAGGACTCGGTTCCGTGGTCCAGAGCGATGTTGTGTGTATTTACTGCAGCGAGAGCAGTGCAGTTGACAGTAGCGGCGCTTATTTTGCTCACACTTAATGCGCCTCGCCGCCAAATGGCTGAGCAGTGTGTACAGAGTGATTTCAGCTTCAGGTGGATTTATCCGCTTGACGCTGGCGACGGCTTTCCGTATTTCCTCCACACTAAATCCATATTTCAAAGCTCGTGAAACCACAAAAGCCCGAATACCTTGGTCGAAAAAGTTGTCATCATAAACCGTCACGAATGCAGTTGTTTCTGCGCCGCTAGTTTGGTTGTTGTCGGTGTTGTTGTTGGTGTTGTTGTTGTTGTTGCTATTATTGAGCTTTCCATTTACTTTATTACCAGGCTGCTGATGACGCTGAGGACGGAGAGTAAGACCAGAGAGCTCTTTATCCCGATCACGCACGATTTCGCTAAGGCAGGTAGCGATATACAAACAGCCAGGGGCATCTCGTGTATGTAGCTGCCATGGCACATCGTCAGGTGTCCACTGACTGACATGCAGACCGCAATTAAAACACTCCACCCCGTCCCCTGTACCCGTGTAAGCAAATCCTGCGCGGGCTAAATCCAGGGGTGTTTGCAGTAGCTGGCAAGGCCAATTCTTGAAAGATCTCAGCCTTTCATAAAGTTGCGCGTTTGCAAAATCAAAAGGGCAGGCCACTGTCAATATTTGGCCCACTTGGTCGGTCGGATCGGGCTTTTCCTGTTCCTTGAAGCGTTTTCGTATCTCAGCGCACCAGGGTGTGCACCGTAGATGATACTCAAGAGGGTCTGCTTTGCCAGCCAGTGTTACATCTATCCGATTGCAGAACAAGCAGAAATACGCCTCGCTGATGTTGACGGGTCGAAATCCCTGTTTTTTAAGAGACTGAATCGAATGTGGGTGAAAATGCTCTGAGCAGATTAAACGATATAGTCCATCATCACTTTCCGTATAAACGCCGGCTTCAAAACTTCCATATAACTGTGTAGCGGCAGACATTTGTGACCACATGAAATAAATGATGATTTTTCGACTTTCCCGGCTATTACGGTGTCCTTTTATATAACGCACACACACACACACACACACACACTCCTGCTTGTTGTTATTCTGACCTACATTATACTGGGCGTGGAAGGGAGGTATAGTGGGCAGCGGTGAAAGTTTGCCGACGGACCGCCTCTCATCCTTGCGTGATGAGACCGGTGCCGCTGATGATATCATTGCCATCTGCACTACTGTATGAGTCATGGCACTGGCAGATAAAAGCCAAAGCAAGCGGTTGTGTAAATCTGCTCTCGCAGAATCAGTTGCCAGTTTACGGTCATCCTCATCATCATGGTGCCTACATTATCAAACAACGTGGAAATATACACGGAGAAAAATGCCGTAGACACGGAGTATGCCAGACTTGTGAAGAACAGCCCCTTTATCTTAATTGTAAGTACCAGTCAGCCAACTATATATATGTATATATAAGTGTTGTGTAAAGAAAATTTTGGGTAGTTTGTCAAATCCTTTGTGAGCAAAGTTAAAATGACCTTTCACGAATACATCTTGACCTACTGGCGCCAATATAATGGCAAAGCTCTCCTGTTTTTAATTTTAATTGCACAAATTACAACAATTTGTATGCTGACGCGCAATCAGGTTACCGTCAGCACTTTAGCTAACCGTACAGGGACAGTTTTGAACGAAAAAGGGGTTCTTATAGGTCAGTTCATTAACGATACGTTGCCCTTGTTAAAGAGTTCACGGGCATTACTTATTCGCGGTGTTTTTGATCTTAACCGGGTTTTCGGAGAGATATTAGCCTATGTCCGGCGCAATGGCAATAATTTTATACTACCTGCGTATCGGCTGAATATCACGGCTTTGCCGTCAACATTTCAGGCAGGAGCGACAAGGCTTGATATTATTCTGTTTCCCGTTGAATATAATCGCAGCAGTGCCTTTGCCGTAGATGAGCCTCAAGTTTTAAGCAGTACATCTATATGTACATATAGTTAAATTTCACGTGCTGCCCTGGGTGAATATAAGAATTATGAGTTTATTTTCTGAATTTCAGCACAAGCCGACATCCGTCATGCTCAGTTTAAGCCTCTATCAACCGCACGAGCCCCGTATCGATCTCCGCCTGATCAAACACATTCCACAGGATGATTCATATGCTGCGACTCGCTGCGGATTCTATTTTCCCACCGCCTACCTTCCTGAATTTTTGGCCGCGGTGAAAACTCTAACAGCCCGTGTCAGTGAGTGGGAGAAATCCAACGCGTTTATCCGACCAATGGCCCTGCCGGCCTCATCTTTACGTAGTAGCACCAATAAAGCCTTTGTGAGCAAAAGCAGCGGAAGCGGAGATGGCGGCAACTCCACGAAAAAAAGAAGCATTAATAGCCTTGCTAAGGCTGCCGCAAGAAAATTTATGCGCACTTGTACGGGTGATGTACGTGAACGTGGTGTGGGTAGTAAAGCTCGTGGTGGTCGTAGTGAAAAAAATAATACTGACTATGATGACAACGTAAACGAAAGTGCTCTGTTAATTGATGATGATGATGATGACGAATTTGACGGCGACCTCGGAGAATGAACGAGTGAATAAATAAATGTGTTGTTACGCTATATCGTTTTCCCTTACAGGAATAAGGCACTTTATTTGTTAATACACACAGAAAAAAAGCTTGAACAACACGAAAAATGTAGAAATTAAACTAGAATTTCTTCATCCTCTACAGTCATTCTTTCATTGCTACTATCATTTTTCCCCTTCTTTTTTATTTTTCGCTGCGTATTTCCTGAGCGTGAGCTGCTTTTAATCCTGACCTTTTTCATTCTTTCGCTCTCGCTCTTCTTCTGCTTTTTCTTCTTCTTGTCGCTTTTCTTTGCCTTCTTCTTTATCTTCTTCTTTACACACTTATTGCGTACAGCCCGGGCATTAGCGTTTAAATGACCCTGTTTCCCGATATGCTTCACGGGAACGAGAGCATATTCGTCCATAGTGGAATTTGAGATTGCGTACACTCGCTGGTAATTGTCAGCACTCTCCCCCAACAAATTTCCCCGCACACGCAAAAGGTCGGGCGTGCAACACTTAAAGTCCAGAAATAAATAACCATAATCGCGAAGCGTGGCAGTTTTATACGCTTCCATAAACTGTGTCGAGCTCCGTGGATACATTTGCCGCGCCAGTATCTCCATCTGCATCATATCTCGAGGCTGTTTCCACAGCACGAGATAATGAGCATTCAAAGAAATCGTACGCATAAGTGGATTTTGAAAGAATACATTTTGCACTGTCAGAATGACCGAGCGATTCAAGTGATGAGTTCCTCTTGTAAAAAGGAAGACTACATTTTTGTTAATTTCCTGCATCTGATCGTCAAGGATGATCAGAGAAGGGTCGTTTTTATTGGTAAAACTCTCTTCAGCAATATCTTCAGGAATATTTTTAATGAAAACAACATTTTTTGTATGTTTTCTAATGGTTTTAAAAACAGGTGATTCGTAAGAGTAGATAAAGTACACTTTCTTAGGGAACGGAGTAATTTTGCGCAGCTCGAGCAGTCGGCATATCCAAAAGGTTTTTCCTCCTTGGCTCTGGCAGCTGCAGACCAGATTGAATGGGTGAACAAGGAGCGGGTTAAAGTTTTGTACGGTTTCGTACATTCCATCTGGAGAAACTGCGGCAATGTGAGTCAACCGTACGGTCCCCTTTTATATCCTGTAGCCGAAGGGGAGGGTCTCATAGTTCGGTGTGGAATACAGTACTTTTCGTTTGTCAAATGTAAAACGGACCATTTTCGTCTCTTTCCGTGTGCTCAACTGCCAGCTGCCTCGGATACGAAAAATTTTGAAAGGATTTAGTGAGAATTGAATTTTTTCTGGATCTCTGACCATTTCTTCAAGTAATTCTGGGGTGAAAAAATCAATGTTTCCTTTATTAATTGTTATCCCCTTCGCCTTGAAAACGGACATTCCTTTCCCAGTACGGTATGCATACATTTTTGGACCACCACAAACGAACAAAGTGATTTTGTCGTCATCGATCTCTGATTTGAACTCTCCCAAGCATTCGCCTACGGGGAGGCTTGTCAGGCCGGGTCCCTCCAACGCAATCACGCAGTCAGTGTCAACATATAACAGGCGCTCAAAACCTACAAAGGTCATGCCAGAATAGAGCTCCAGACGCGCGTAACTGGTGACAAAGCCAGCGACGATTACGTTTGCGCGCAAATCAGTTCCGTCCACGTCGCTTGACCTGGTGCTCTGCACCTGCAGGATATCCTCGTTCACAACATCGATGTAATTAACTGTATATTTTCCAGAGTAGAAAAGTTCGTTAAACCGCTTGACGCTTTTGACATATTCGAAACTTGGTTTGTTTTCTTTGATTGCCAGCCTGCCCCACAATGTATTAAGCATAAGTTTCGAGAGAAGGCGTCGCGTTGGGTTGAATTCCACCTTTGAGGGATCAACAGTCACATTGTCCCTGTCTTTAAGAGCCTGAAGGTAGGCGTGCTTTTCTTCGTCTGATTGGCAATGTGAGGGATATCCAC